AAGCTCGCTGCAAGGTAAGGAAGGAAAACTGCGAGATTTTAATGGTTCTGGAGGGAGGGAGGGAGGGGCACCTTCCATTAATGAAACAAATGAAGCAATTCATATTTCCTGATATTTCCGATCTTTTTTTCAAGAAGATTTTGGAAATAATTTCAAAACCGAACCGCCAGCGCACCCTATATACGAAATGAGTTTAGAGCCATTTTTTTTTCTTGATCAACCAAGCCTAGTGAATACAGAGTACTAGGATGCTTTCACTCTGTCTAGAGGACAAAGCCCCATGCCAGATGTCACATGACATTGTGTGAGTTCTGGCAGAGGCCCCACCCCCAACCAAGGTGGAAGCATCACCAGACACTCTCGCCCCAACACAGGAACCTTGCTGTGTTGTGCTGGTTCCAATGGAGCCAGCATGGTGCCTCGTCAGGAGGGAGATGCTTTCCCTATGTGATGGGGAAAGCATTGAGAGGGAGCTGTGTCTGGGGTGACAGATTCACTTCACTGCTCCCTCTTTCCTCCCAGATGTGTCTCACTTCACCTGGCCTTTATGATGATGCCTCTAATATCAAGAAGCTGTGTGAATAATATCATACTTTTCTGTTTGAGAAAATAGCCTTGATGCTTCAATATTTCAAAAGGAGATGAATAAAACATAAATTGCCAAATATTTTAAATCCAAGAATTTTTTTTTAAAGTAATGGATAAAAAGTTAAGGGAAAAAAATTAGACAAAATAGGGGATTGGATAAAGGTTGGAATGAAGAAGGAAACGGTTATGGAAGAATTTAGAGAAATAAAATTGACATGGTTCCATTGTACGCAATTAGAACAATGGTGTAAAAATTGAGGGAAAATCATAAAAACGGAAGTAAGCTTAACCAATTTGAACAAATAATATAAAATGGAAGGGTTGTAGAGGAGCATGAAAATTTGAAAGGAATAACTAGTAAAATATATAAGATAATAATTGAAATAAAGGAAGGAAAAACAAAAAATAATATGCTCAAGGAGGTCTGGGAAGAAGATTTAGGGATAAAAATAAATGAAATAGAGTGGCAACAATTACGGAAACAAAGACATCTAAAAAAATGTATCAATACAGGTTAAGGAAAATTATTATAAGTTAATATGGAAATGATACCTAACACCCGTAAGAATAGCACATATAAATAAAAACTATTAAAAAATTGTTGGAGAGGATGTCAAGAACGAGGAATATACACCGGTGGGTGATGGCGACGGGAAAGCTGCATTGAGAGGGAGCTCCGATGCAGACCAGCGTTGAGGCGCCTTAAGGGTGAGATTAAGCTCCCCCACCATCACCAGATTGAGTGTGAAGGTGTAGAGTAACCCGTGGGAGGCTCGTAGACCCCAAATACTCCCTTCCCTCAAGGAGGGGGGTAAAGAGGGTCCGAGCCGACGGGAGAACAGGTGCCCCGCTGGGATCGGCCCAGAAGTAGCAGCGCAGAGGTTATCGGTTATGGATTTAGGCGACATTGGATTGGATACAGACACAGTTGAATAAAATGGCGGATCGACAAATTAAGTGTTTATCAAATAATATCAACGGTTTGAACTCACCCCAGAAATGCAAAAAAGTGTGGAATAAATTACAGAAAGCAAATTGGGATATCATCCTGCTACAAGAAACGCATATTTGCCACAAACATGTGGCTCATTTAGAAAATAAAAAATTGGGAAAGACATTTTATTCATCGGATGAAAAAAAGAAGAAGGGTGTGGTAACATATATAAAGGAAAATTTAACACCAGAATTGGCATTTAAGGATTTGGAAGGAAGATGTGTGGCGGTAAAAATTCAACTGGGAAATTTAAAAATACTAGTATGTAATATATATGCGCCAAATGGCCCAAAGACTAAATTTATTCAATTTTTACAATCAAAATTGAGAGAAACGGAATTCGATGAACTCTTACTGATAGGAGACTTCAATGGTGTGATGGACAAACAAAAAGACAAGAATAAACTGCAAAAAAGGGGAGGAAACAGTGTTTTACCCCAAAAGTTTTTTGATTTACAAAAATAATTTGAGCTGGAGGATACGTGGAGAAGAAAGAATGAGAAAAAAAGGATTATACTTTTTATTCACATAGACATCAAACATGGTCAAGGATTGATATGGCATGGATAACAAAAAAATTAGCTACTAAAATTGTGGAGATGGGAATATTGCCTAGAGACGTTTCAGATCACTGTCCATTAGAAATACTAATTAATCATAAAGGTTTTCAAAGGAAATGGAGATTAAATGAAAATCTGATTAAAACGGAAGAAGACAAATTACATTATAATAAAATCGTTCAAGAGTATCTAGAAATTAATGACATTGAGGAGACAAAAATACAAGTGACTTGGGACGCCCTCAAAGCGGTTTTGAGAGGATGCTTTATTCAACTCAAAGCGGTTTTGAGAGGATGCTTTATTCAACATGGGTCCAGGAAGAATAAAGACAGAAATAAAATAATGAAAGAATTGATGAATAAGATTGCTAATAAAGAAACAGAGTTAAAAAAGAAACCACAGTGTAAAAAATTGAATAAAGAATTAGCGAGACTTAATCAAGAGAAGTCCCGCTTGGAAACGGAAAGACAAGCAAGAGAGCTGAAGTTTTTAAAACAACAATCTTTTGAAAATGCGAAATAGATCAGGGAAATGGTTAGCAAGACAAGTAAGAAAGAAGAAACAAACTACACAAATTACAAAAATAATATCGGGAGATAAAACTGTTACAACTGATAAGGAGATTATGGGAGAATTCATGAAATTCTACAGTAAATTATATACGAAAGATGGAATAAAGAAGGATGATATTACAGCATATATAGGCCAATTGAAATTGCAGAAAATTACAGAGGAAATAAGAGAAAAATTGAATAAAGAAATTATGGAAGAAGAGATTGAAAGAGCAATTAATAAAATGGATGCAGATAAAGCTCCGGGACCAGATGGATTTACAGCAGGATTTTACAAGTCAATGAAAAAAACTGTGGTACCAATGTTAAAGAAAGTCTTAAATGAAGCATTAAATCACCAAAGAATCCCAGAAACCTGGAAGCAAGCTGAGATAGTAATGATACACAAAGAAGGTTCAGCCCCGGAAGATATCAAGAATTATAGACCGATTTCCCTATTAAATGTGGACTATAAAATATTTACGAATATACTGGCGGCGAGACTAAAAGAATTTTTGAAAGATTGGATAGGGGAGGACCAAACAGGGTTCCTTCCCGGAAGATATATGAAAGACAATATCCGCACAGTATTGGATTTGATTGAATATTTTGAGGCGAACCACCAGAAAGAAATGGCTATTTTATCAATTGATGCCGAGAAGGCATTTGATAATTTGAATTGGGACTTCTTTAAGATATTGATTCAAGAATTGGATATGGGAGCTAAATTTATAAATGCAATTGATGCGATTTATGATCTACAAAAGGCAAAAATTCGGATAAACGGCCAATTATCAGAGGAATTTGAGATTACAAAAGGAACGAGACAAGGATGTCCGTTATCCCCGTTAATTTTTATAATGGCATTGGAACCATTAATGATGAAAATAAGAGAAGATACAAATGTTAAAGGAGTAAAAATCGGGAAATATGAATACAAAATAAGAGCCTTTGCGGACGATTTACTGGGAATAGTGGAAGACCCAATTAATAATTTACAAAACTGGATTGAAAAAATACAAGAATTTGGGAAAGTGGCAGGCCTCAAAATAAATAAAGGGAAAACTAAAATACTAACTAAAAATATAGGGAAAGAAGACCAAGAAGAAATTACAAGGATTACAGGAATGGAAATAGTGAAAAAATTAAGGTACCTGGGGATTTGGTTGACAGCAAAGAATGGCCAACTATTGAAGAATAATTATGACTTGACTTGGAGCAAGATACAGAAAGATTTAAAGAAATGGAGCTTATTGAAACTATCTCTACTAGGAAGAATTGCGCTCATAAAAATGAATGTTTTACCTAAACTACTGTTTTTATTTCAAAATATACCCATAATCAAAAATCAAACAGAATTTATAAAATGGAAGAAAGAACTATTGAAATTTGTGTGGAATGGGAAAAGACCGAGAATTAAATATTTGAACTTAATTGATAAAAAAACACGAGGGGGACTGGGATTCCCAGATCTGAAAACATACCATGAGGCTAGTGCCCTTTTGTGGATAAGAGATTGGATGACATTAGAAAATGGAAAAGGCTTGAACTTAGAAGGACATGATCTACGTGTAGGCTGGCATGCCTACACGTGGTACGATCGAGAAAAAAAGGAAAAAAATTTTGGAAACCATTTTGTAAGAGCATCATTATTAAGAGTATGGATGAAATACAAGAATCATTTTTATACTAAAACGCCTCTATGGGTTTCACCGATGGAGGCGTATCAAAGAAGATTACTGGGTTGGAGAGCGTGGCCAACATATAGAGATATATTAGTGAGGAATACTATGGAAATTAAATCCTTCCAGCAAATGAAAGAAATAAATGGTAATTTGACGTGGTTACACTACTTGCAAATGAAAGAATATATCAAGCAAGACAATAAGATAGGCTTCGCCTGGGAAGAGTCAACTTGGGACAAAATATTAAAGACGAATAAGAAAGTAATTTCAATTATTTATAATACACTATTAACCTGGCTAACGGAGTGCGAGCAAGTGAAAACATGTATGATAAAATGGGCCGAAAACATAAGAAGACCTATTCAATTTAGGGAGTGGGAGCAGATGTGGAACAAAAAATTGAAATATGTATATGCAACAGATTTAAAAGAAAACTGGATAAAAATGTTCCACAGATGGTATACCACTCCTAAGAAATTATCTTTAATGAACAAGAATACTTCTGATAAATGTTGGAAGGGTTGCCATCAAACAGGTACTTTTTATCATATGTGGTGGACGTGTAAAGAAATAGAGAAGTATTGGACGAAAGTACATGAAGAGCTACAAAAAATTTTGAAGAGAGTTTTTAAGAAGAAACCAGAATATTATCTATTGGGATTTACAGATTTGGAATTACAATTAGATGAGAATGAAGATAGACTATTTACCTATGCTACAACAGCGGCGAGAATATTATTGGCGAAGTTTTGGAAACAGGAAGATATCCCTACCACTGAAGAGTGGTTAGGGAAATTAAGAGAAATAAGAGAAATGGACGAATTAACTTTTTTCTTGAAAAAGAATACCGGGAACCCGATAAAGAGGACAGATTGGACTCTATATGAAAATTACGAAAAGGAAATAAATAAATAAGAGGAATACTATGAAGTGGATATAATGGAAATATCATTGAGGACACAACACCTGATGGAGAGATGGAAGTCAATTTTTATTTTATACTTTTTTTTTCTTTTTTTTTCCTTTTTTTCTTTTTTCCTTTTTCCCCTTTTTTTAAAATTTTTTGTGTGGCTTTTATATTTTTGTTTTTTTTTTTTTTGGTGGACTTGGGGGTAGGGGGATGTATTTCTTACTTTTTTCCTACTTTTCTATCATCTTTTTTAATATTCTCCCTCTTTCGATGTTATTTTTAAAACCTTAATAAAAACTATTATAAAAAAAAACATGAAGACTTTCTAATCAGAGATGGTAAAACACAGAAAATAATAGTTCTCCTGGAAATGGTAGCAGCATTTTATACATTTGCAGCTCATTTATAGAGCATTTGTGAAAACCCATGCAATGCATTTGAAAACCACAAACAGTTATTCATTGCCATTTTTAAATATGCTGTTGTATTGTCACTTTTTAAGAGAAATCCCATTAGGATAAAAAAAAAAGTTATGAAACTTCCACTTGAAGTGTTTCTTTAAAAAACCTAAAAACTCCCATTAAGAGTAAGTAGAAAAGAGTAACTGGAAATTACTGTTATATCAAAAGGGAGATAAATTATTTTGTTCCCACTAACATTTGAGTTAGGGTGGCCAACGGTCCCGTTAAATGTGGAACTATTTTATTTCTGTGTTGTACAATCTTGCAGCCGTTTTTCCATTCCTACATCCAATCCGACCCAAAATACAACATAAATGTGTGTTTTCTCCCTGTGCTGCATGAAGTGTGATGCAGTAAAAGTTTCTTATCGTGTAGTACCAGAAGAAAACGCAAAGGAAAACTTCCCCAGATAAGGTAACACCCGACCCAACAAGGGGGCCAGCCAAAAAGAACAGAGACACAGATATAAACATGAGAATTTATGTATTGGAGAGTCCCAGAAAAGAAATATGTCTTCTAACCTGGAAATGCATGAAAAATGCATGAAAAATAGACTGAGAAAAGAGTCTGGATGAGGCTTTAGTAACTGTGTTAATTTTTAAATGTAATCATATCACAAAATAAAATAAACCATTGAGCTGCTGAACTTGCCGACCAAAAGGTCAGTGGTTCAAATCCGGGGAGCAGGTTGAGCTCCCACTTTTAGCCCCAGCTTCTGCCAACCTAACGGTTCGAAAACATGCAAATGTGAGTAGATCAATAGGTACCGCTCCGGCAGGAAGGTAATGGCATTCCATGCAATCATGCTGGCCACATGACCTTGGAGGCATCTATGGACAATGCCAGCTCTTCAGCTTAGAAATAAAGGCAAGCACCACACCCAGAGTCGGACACGACTAGACAATGTCAGGGGAAGCCTTTACCTTTACCTTTATATTATGTATAACTTTTCTCACACCCTTCGGTCAACCATATATGCACGAGAGCAAGAAATAAGTGATATTTTAACAACATCAAATTACTGCACACAGGAACTACTTGTAAAATATATATTGAAATAATAATTTGCCTTTTGCTTTCTCTAACTGAAGCTGCTTTTTAAGCTTGTGCAAATCAGAACAGAGAGAAAAATCAAACTAAACTGGCACCCCACCAGTTTTTTTATCTTGTCAACTTCAGGGGACAAGGAATTTCAAAGCCCTTGGGGTTTTCTAGGATGCCCACTGCAAAATAAACAGCAGCACTATCATAATGTAATATATCCCTATAAACACAGAGGCACTAGACTTCTTTGCCAAATGTTTATAAATTTTTGTTTTTTGTTTTAAAAAGTGGGTTGAAACAGCCACAGCAGGTTCCTTTTGCCTGTCCAAAGCATCTGTTTGTACCTGAAACACTGCTCAGTGCATCCTTGCTGCCATTCGTTTCCGCCACGGCACGCCTGAACTGCTCCAAGATGGTATTTAATTCAGAGGAACGCTGCAGGGTTCGGTGCTCAGCTATCCGAAGACGTTCCTTCAAAGCATGAAATTCCCTTTGATAAGCGATCAGTTTTTCTAGAAATGAAAATAGCTCAGGTTACTCTCCCTTAAAAACCAAACAGCAGCTTCTCAGAGTCTAAATGAAAGCTGAATTCCAACTTTCATCTGCAAAAAATATCTTGCAAGCTCTGAGTCCCTCCCGGTCCCCCCTTGGGATGCAGTCAACTGGCATTCACTATTAAATTAAATTTCAACATGCTGTTTCTCCTGCTGAATTTATTCTTAACCAAATGAAGGAAACATCAGAAACAGACAGAATGTAAAAACAAGTAATGCAAAACCAGTATTGCAAAACTTCCTGAACGGATTAAAAGTTTGCTGCTGGGGAGAAACTGAAAGACTTTTCACTGCAGGAAATACTATGAGAAAGAATAATGATCTCTTGTCAAAAGAAATGTTAACATGACATGCCTAGACTATTCCAATTTATTCTTCATTATTTTTCCACTCCTGGGCAGATGACAATTCTACAGGGAAAGCCCACAAGTGTAATATGCTATTTGTTAAACAACATCTAAGTAATTTCTCTTAAGATAATAATACAGCTTTGGGGAGGAAAGCATGCAAGCCACAGCATTCTATTGGATACAGTCCTTTTTCCAAGTAGACAGATAGATAACTTTGCATCAAGTGGTGATCTCTCAAAGAGTTGAAGTTTATTTGTTACTAGCTTGTGTATCCAGAGTTGCCTGACTTATTTGAAAAAAGTTATGTTTTAATTGTACAAAATGCATAAGGTTGTGGGCGAACTACAATTCACATCACACCAGATTAACCCCTGAAATTCCATCAGTAGTTTAAGTTGTTTAACTTTGGGCAAGTTTGCTCTAGATGCATCATTGATGGAGTTCAGTCCGATCTCTGGCTGCAGGTTAAACTACAGCTTCCACCATGGTGGATTATCCCCCTCAAATCCCTCCAGTAGGTTCAGTTGGCCATGGGTGTTCTGTGTGCCAAGTTTGGTCCAGATACGTCACTGGTGGTGATCAAGTGTCTCTGGATTTAAATGAACTACAACTTCCAGAAATGATGGTCAGTTCCCCACAAACCCATCCAGCATTTTCAGTTGGTCATGGTGATTCTGTGTCTGAAGTTAGGTTCAGGACCATTATTGGTGGGGATCGAGTGCTCTTTGATTGCAGGTGAACTATAACTCCCAGTACTTACAATGGGTATAAATCAAGGTGAATTCCCCCCAAACCTCTCCAGTATTTTTCTTTTGTCATGGGGATTCTGTGTTCCAAATGTGGTCCAGGTCCACAGTGGGGGTCACAGTGCTCTGACTTGATGCAGGATGAACTACAACTTCCATCATGTGATGTCAATCCCCCAAACTCCTCCAGTACGTTTAGTTGCTGGTTAGTTCTGCTCTGTTTGTTGTGCAGACAGAGTTGAAAAGAGTAGGAGAGGGTTAAGGGAGAGGCAGTGGATGGGATCATACAAATTCCACACCAATGGACAGAGTAAGAAACACTGGGATGTCTGTGGTGGAGGAAACACATAAATCTAGGGTGAAATCATCCTTGAATGAAAGCATTCCTTGGGTGGTAGGCAGTATGGTTTTTGGGGAAGACATTGGCAGGGGTTGGGCTACATGTTCATGGTGCTCACTATAACCTGAAATGTCATTGGGGGGAGGGCTTTTAGTGGATCCTCAGGACTGTGGGTTAAAGCTACTTGTGGAAGTGGGAGTCTGTCTGTGGATGTGGGCACTCTAGCCACACACACACACACATGTTTTGACTTTTAGTATGTATATAGATTAGGAGGTTTTGTGTTTAAAGCTCTTTGCTTTTACATTTTGCGATAACACTTTTATGTTATTCTATGCCTTTATATGAACTTCTAATAAAGTATCTAATAATGTATCTTATTTTAAAAACCCAAGCATTTAATAACCAACCTATTTTATATATCATCAATTTAGCTGCTTTATTCTCATATCACAGAGAAAATCTTTTAAACTTGAAATGTACAGACTTAATATTTATGTCTTAATCCTTCTTTCTGATGCAAATGCATCCATTACTATTAGTGCTGCTAACTTTTGTGCAACTAATATTCTTCAACAGGCCTATGTACAGCCTAGGACCTCCCCCCCCCCCCCCCAATTTGGAAGTGTAATTCGTCGTATTCTTATTTTGCCCACTAGTTTTTTTAATAACCTTGCTGAACCGTACTTCCTTTTTCTATAGTGCTAGTCAAACATTGTTATAGTAAAGGATTGGTTTGATATGTTTTAATTCCAATGTATTCTGCATTAATCACCCAGGCTTCTACATTATTAAAATCATACAAGGAACACACTCTTCTTTTACTTGGTTAAGTGAGTCAAGTCCCAACGAAAAAGTTTCCATTCTGAAACAATACATTTCCTGTTCCAACATGGAAAATGAAATGTAATGAAGATAAAACTGTATTATATCAAAAGAAGGAATAAGATATGGATATGTCGAAGAACTTACTCCACTAAGTACTATACCAAAAGCCAGTAATAAAACAAATTTAATTTATAGATTGGGGGAAAGGGATTGGCATACAGTTATAGTTCTGACTCACCAACTTGAAATATGTCCCAGTGGAGTCTGAAAACAAGAATTATTCCAAGGCAGAGCTGTTTGGAAATGAGATGTCAGAAGAAAGTGCTCACTATAATAATTGAGATGCATCTCGATCTGCTCTTAAGCATATAGGAATTCTTGCATTTGTAGATGTGAAACAAGATCCAGTGGAAGGGATCCAATAGATCTGATTCATTCCATTCACTATCTGCTCCTATGAGTAGACTAGAGCTTGTGAAAGTGTCTTTTCAAAGGTAGGTAGTTCCATTGGTATTTACAACACTTAAAAATGAAACCTGTTCCTCTTACTCATCATGATAATGAAAAAGGTTAACTTGTAATGTTACTTGTACTTCCTACACTAGATCATTGGTTCTCAGCCTGTGGGTCCCCAGACGTTTTGGCCTTTAACTCCCAGAAATCCTAACAGCTGGTAAACTGGTTGAGATTTCTGGGTGTTGCTGGTCAAAACACCTGGGGACCCACAGGCTGAGAACCACTGCACTAGACATTCCTTTCCCACTATTTATATTACCTTCCTGTTACAGGTTAGTATCCCCAATCTGAAGTACTTGAGACTTTCAGAATTTTTTTTTTTAGATTTTGGAATTCCCGTCTTTGCTTATAAATATATAATGAGATGTCTTGGAGATGGGATCCAACACAAAATTCATTTATGTTTCTCATAAATGTTATACACATAGCCTGAAGGGAAATGTATACACAATATTTTAAATAATTTTGTGCATTACACTAAGTTTGTGTTCCCTGAGCCATAGGAAAGAAAAAGTATCACTATCTGAGCCATCTATTTGGGATTTCAAAACTTCAGGTGAGGAAGCTTTTATTACTTTCTTGGGGAAGAAAAAAATATCTTAGGATTGATATGAGAATGCCATAAAAATGAAACTTGCTGCCTCGTTTGTATGCAATGTACAATATTTGCAGAAGAAACCACAGCTTCCTTGTTTAAATACACATGTTTCTAGACATGAGCAATATCCAATTTTATTAGTTTATATAATAATACTAACTGTCCCCTGCCACACGTTGCTGTGGCCCAGTCCGTGTATATGTGTTTTGTATGTGTATATATTTGTGTATATGTGTATATATGTGTGTTTGTGTGTGTGTGTGTATATACACTATATGTATGTGTGTGTGTGTGTGTGTGTGGTTTTGCGCATGTGTGGTAATGTATTTTTTAAGTCTCTTCTGCTGTGTTTTTCAGTATTTTATGAGTTATGGTGACTCATTGGCCTGATAGGTGTACTGTGTCCAAATTTGGTGTCAATTCGTCCAGTGTTTATTGAGTTATGTTAATCCCACAAATGCACGTTACATTTATATTTATATAGATTACAATATAATAATAATATGGTAATAATCAATATTTTTTATTATTTATATAGGGGTTTTTTTAATTTTGTGTTTTTAAATGCATTTTAACTGTATCCTAGGAGCCCTCGGTGGTGCAGTGGGTTAAACCCTTGTGCTGGCAGGACTGATGATCGACAGGTTGGAGATCCGAATCCGAGAAGAATACAGATGAGCTCCCTCTGTCAGGGATACTATACGCAGCTTGTACTCCAGTAGTTGAGTGACTGAGAGTTGAACAGATCATTACAAGTGCTTGGGTGTATTTATCATAGGTCGAAGTTATCAACTATACTTAGGCAGGGACTCTTTCTGTTCGCTGTGCCCACACAGCATGCCACTGCATTTTGACATTCATAAAGCTACACATGAGTGTGGCCAGCTGGATGAGTCCAAAGAGGAAAAATGGCCCTGGTCCCTGTCCTGTTGACCATTCTTGACCATAATCCACCACTTCTGTTAGTCATTTTGACCAGGTTTTTTTGAACTGATATTTTTCTTTCATGATGATTTGGAGATATAGGAAAACCAAATCACTGCATTTCTAGGTGAGAGCAATAATCGTGGCAAATGATTTTTTTTTAAAAAAAATATAGGGCCTGGGGGCTTTGGGGAAGCTCCTGTGGAGTCTCAATGGCCACATGTCATCCACAGGTTGCACTTTGTTCACATCTGTTATAAATGGTCAATTTCCACCTGGGCTAAATCATTTCACAAGATAGTAGAAAGAGGGTCACATGGCTGACTGCTCCCACCATAAAAACCAGATTTGAGGAATAAAGATCACTTTCCTAGTTTTCTTCCCCTTTCTGACTGACTGGCACCCCATGGAGGAGCAGTCATTCATGCAAGATCTTTGATATACTCTGTCCTGGCAAAGTTACAAGAAGAAAGTCTAAACCGGATTGAATCAATGAAAATCAACCCCAATTATCTTATTTATCTAAGCATGGACATGTTAATTTTTGAATTACTACTTTTTTTAGGATACAGCCCATGATTCTAGACTCTTAAGTGATAGTCCAAAATGTAATTCATTGCAAGCACCTCAAATGGAACAAGCTTCAGTTGTTCCAA